ATAATTATATTAGATATTACAGTTAATTGTAAATTAAAAGTCAATAATATTACACAAAAACTATATTTGGTGTATAATAAGGGAATTGTGGGCAAAAAAATCCCCCGCACTAGGAAAAAAAATCCCCATTAGCATTATACCGCCAGGGATTGACTAAAATTAAATAATTTAATATATAATAAATTATAAATTGTAAATAAAATAAATATTGTATATTATGTTAAAAATTGTTATTTTATAAAAAAAATTGCCTTTTTGAACAACGCCAACGAATAAAATTCAAACATATTTTTTGTAATATATATATGGCCTTTATATGCAATCTTATTCCCTCGTGCTGTTTTTATTAATGCCATTTTTAAGGATACACTATGTCACTATGTAGTAAACTAATACAGTGCCAACAAATGACTGAGCGCAGTTTCTTTGTGTTGTAGCCATATAATATAACACCTATGACCATATAATATGATCGCTATAACATATATTTATTGCAATCGAAAAAAGTTCATAATCTCTAATCGTGTACCTACCTGGTTAGTGGTTACCTATAAAGTACCTATACATGGCTAATTGGCTACATTGGAAAAACACCCTTAATAACGTATTTATTTATCTACGACGATTATAGGTTGCGTGGTTTATAGGTATCTACTAATCTACTATTATATTTTATACCCAAACKTCTGTAACTGAAACAAATTAAACAACTAATTGGTCAGTTAGAATTACATCTTGATCACGTTTATTTTGAGTATACTGTTGAAAATTCCAAAAGTTTAACCATCGTGGCGTRCATTTTATATAAATATAATATAATACATGTATATATTTAGTAATATCGTATTTTCAGCCTTTTAGGGTATAAGACCGTTTTTATAAAATAACCGGGGATTTTTTTTCCAACTACCATAGTAAGGTAATTATACCTTATAAGAAATAGGTGAGTGTCAAAATTGAAAATTGTATGTGGAGGTGTCTAATGTCATAGGTAAAATTATAGACTTTGGCGCCCCACTGCCTTAATCAACATAATAATAATGTGTAATGTATAATTATTATTTACTTTTATTTTGTAAATGATTGAGAACAAAAATTGGGCGCAAAAACATACAACTATACAAGCACCTATTATGGCTATGGATCCGAAAAGCAATAAAATTATTTGAGGTTATGTAAGATAATGCGCATTGGCATAATGGCATATTATTGTGTGTATTTACTATTTCAGTGATTGTGCGAGTGTGCTACACAAGTTGTGATAGCCGGTGCTCTGGCTAAAACGTAAGTTACAATTATTTTTGAATTTTGAAAATTATTAATTTTTAATTTTACTCAGTTATGATAGATTCATTCTAAGACTGCAAATTGACATCAATTACATTACTTTAAGTAGATACAGTTTGTAATAATTTAGGATTATTTTCTCAAGATGGCGGAATTTGTACAACGACGCAAAGAAGAAATGATTGTTGAAGTTCCAGTACTCAATAGTCATTTCAAGAAATCTGCAGTGAAGTAAAATATTTTATAAATGTTAACTACTATTTGWTTTATGTTATGTGCTATTAATCTAAATTTTATGCACGGCCATGTGCTTTGTTTACAGAAATATTTTGAATCAACGAGAAAAATTTGAGTATAGATTGATGCGTCGGAACAAACAAAAGTCAGATTTTACTCTTTATATTATATTTTTAAAGTCCATTATCAAGAAAGTTAAAAAAGTAATGACCTACAGCAATAATTTTAACATTTTACTATCAGTGTAATATTAAATTGTAATTTACTGTATTAGATGGGATCAACAAGTACTGAATCATTTAAACTTATTAATCAACATAATAACCGAATCATAGATCTTTATCGTGCAGCTCTAAAATATTTCAAAGATGATGTATCCCTCTGGAAAGAATACATAAAATTCCTGATGAAATGTGTAAGTATAGATATTTTTTAATTGTTTTTATAATTTACACTACCTATACCTAATAAATTTAAATTATAAATATCAAAATATATTGCGATTATTTAATCTTTTATTAAATGAAACAGAATAATTAACAAATTCTATTCATACTGTCTTGCTAATTGCAAAAATACTAAATGGTTAATTGGCAATAAATTACTTTTGTCACTTGAACAATGTCCATTYCATTTAATTGTTATAACTTATAACTTGAGACATTTTATTTTCTGTTTTTTAGGATAAAGTAGCGTTGTTACGGACAGTTATAAACAGTGCCTTGTTATTRCATGGCCACATTTCAGATTCACTGTATGTTTTCGCAGTTAAACAAGAATTTGAAGATTTAAAAAATATCCAAAAAGCAAGAGAAATGTATACTGATGGATTAAATGCACATAAAACTTCTTCAAAATTATATTTTGAAGCCTTTAAATGCGAACTTT